TCTACATTTTCAAACGCTAATCTCTGAATCAATATAATTATAGACAGACTAGAAGTAGTAAAAAGATGTAAATACAAAACACCAATAAAGGGAAATAAAAGAGCTCCAACTCAACCACTGCTATAAATATCTCCAGCAGCATTAAAGACTGGCGCATTTCTTTACCTCTGATGAGACGTAGAAGGAATTTCCTTCTCTGCCACGTTTTGTTTGTGTGATTTCTGTTTAGAAACAAGAAAACCAACATCAGTAATGGCATAAAACAAGTATATGGTATGAAAATACAAATCCTTCATTTGGATTCAAAATTCAGTTTTTACAGAAATCATCCAAGAAGCTTCCTTAAAAGTTTCAAAAATGCTTGTTTACCATAAGAAATATTCATAGAAATGTGCTGCGAGTCTCTTCAAACTTACCTTTCTGTGAAAAGAAGTTTAAACATCTTTGGACTTGATGTGATCGCAGCCAAATCTCCTCAGCTTTGCAAAAGTTCAACTGAAAACAAGCAGTCAAAGGTTGTATATTTATAAACTTTCAGCATAGAATGTTCATACCCTGAACAGCAAACATCATCATTATGATGTATGGGGCAATTTGCATATTTTGGAATGTATGCTCATTTGAACTGTATGGTGCTCGTCTCCAAGCAACTGCTACACAAAACAGGTCAAGTCAAGTGGCTTTTATTGTCATTTTAACCACGTGCAGAGGTGCTGTACAGAGTGAACGAGACAGCGTTCCTCCGAGACCTGGTGCTATATATGACATATACGGACAAACCAGGACTACATAAAGTGCAGTGTGCATAAATTGCAAAAATAAACAAGACAAACAGTGCAAAACGTGACAGAACAGGACGAAACAGACACAAGACAATGGAAATGTGCAAAATGCTGAGTATTGTGCAAAAGTAACTTGGTGTCTGTATGTATGTATATGAGTGTGAGATACTGCAGATAAGTGCTTGGTAGTGACATGTGTGAAGGTGTGCGTGTGCCAGTGCAGTCACTGAGTGTTCAGGGGTCTGACGGCTTGTGGGAAGAAACTTTTCCGTAGTTTGGTAGCGAGGGCCCGGATGTTGTGGGACCTCTTTCCAGAAGGCAGCAGGGTGAAGAGTGTGTTTGAAGGCTGTGTGGGTCCTCCAGCAAGCGGGTGTTATAAGGAGGGGAGAGGGGCTCCAATGACCTTCTTAGCTGCTCTCACAGTGTAGCTGTCCATACCTCAACGTTACAAAAGCACAACCACTGTCCACACCCCAACCACACCTCACCTCACAGTAATGATCATTTCCATTTTAAGCATTTCCAATAATCATTTTCCATACTGCCAGTATAAATATACACAGTATACTGCATCACTACAATATACAGTTGTGTGCAGCACCTGTGCGTCATTATAGGTGAGCCAAGGATCTGATGTAGAGTGTGGACTCTCCTCAAGATGGACAGAATTACAGATGCAGCAGCTGTTTCCGATGTATGGAAACCTGACACACAAACAACAGTTTACAGTATCAGTGTAAAAAAATGTCCTTTGACCTTTACTTTTGTCAAACAGCGGCCATATGGACTTGTACTGAACATCGACAGCACGAGAGGTAACGTGGCAAAGTAACAGAATAACCGATTAAACAAAGATGCGCCAATACAATACGAGGAATAAAATAAATGAAATGAAAAAAAAAAACAAAAATACGGCAGTGGCCCCTGTCTGTGCAGAACAAATACAAAGAACTAAATCACACAAGGCTCCTTTAAAAAATGTGGAAGTGTTACATACATTTTTATAAATACTTACATTCCACAGAAATCTCAGCTCACTTGCAATACTGCAGCACACAGACGATCTCGCAGCTTATCCCTTGCATGGAGAAAATGGCCGCTCCACACTGCACATACAGGTCCTTTGCATCATACATTTAAGAAATACATCATCTTGTTAAAATACTGACGTTTTGCCACTGCACTACAATTATAACAATATGTTTCAATGAGTTATGTGCATATTTAACAATTCCCTACCAACAATTTAACTCCTTCACAACATTCCCGTTCCACATCCACAACAAAAAGAAAGGTAAACAGGAAGTCCCAAGATGCATTTCTTGTTAAGTTTTTTTGGAAAACTGCAGTTAACCCTTAAGCACTGCCCCCCCCCAGTGACCACAATATGCAACTACACAAACCTATAAAATTAACAGCTTCAAGTGCACACAACATGCAGATAACCCAAGAAATAGCACAAGCAATAACATTAAATTACCCAACAACATTCTTGTCTTACCATACATGGAAACAAAGAAAAACATTTTAAGACCCCTTTTTGAACCTTAAATGGATATTTGGTTAACTGAAATGGAAAATATTATTAATTTACCACTCGGCTACACTCTCCCCTGCAATCAGTCAATGCCCTCGGTGGCTACTAAACCTCGACTGAATGGAAACCCCCCCGCAGTGTTGTTTTTCTTTTTTTCTAAACAGAGCTGCCCCTAGACTTGTTCAAATCTGAGATGCCATGTCAGTGCTAATTGCTACAGCATTGCAGGCAGATTTGGGCAAATGAAACAGGTTTGAATGTGACCCTGCAGTACTGCAGATTTGACCTAAGGTGTCCACAGTCGTAAATTCCAGCGGAGATGCCAGAGGGATCAACTGCAACCCAACCAGTGAACCTGCAAATTGGTTTTGTATGGTTTTTTTGGCTTTTTCTCTACTCATTTTTTGTCATGTTGGATTATAGAATCAAGAACATTTGAATTCCCAGTCAACACAGAACACAGAAATAAGTGCATCTCTAGGCCTGGATGTGCCTTTCTCCTTCAAACGATCAAAACAAAATCAGCATTAGCTCAGAGTAGGTTGATTGGATAAGCATAGTTCAAGTGATTTAACTGATTATTATTTGGTTTTATTTCGTTTAGCTTTTTTTCCTGCTAAACTGCTTTAATAAATATCCTGTAATAGGTTATTAAGAAGTGCACCAATCTAGAGGGGAGCTGTCATAACAGGTGGGACTGGTAGGATTTGACCTGCAAGGCTACTCAGGTTTTGCTTATCTCATCAGGGGAAGCAGGGAGGACGTGCCGACTTCAACGTATTTAGAGCTGGGCGAGTCCCCCCACCCACATCAGCTCCATCTGAATTGTGCATTTCCTTCTGGGTAAGACCCATAGGATCAGAGATTGCAACCTTTTAACCACAGAGCTGATCCAGGCTTCCTGTATTTGTGGTGCCGGTCCTGCTGATCCTACTGGAAGAGTTTTACAATAGAAAAACTGTCAAGTGCTGCTCTCTTGTGGTTAAAAGTGAGACTATCAGTAGCCATGTGACTGGCTTTTACTCTGCAGGAGACTAAATAAATAAAACAAAACTAACTGATGAATGAATGAATAATCTAAGAGTTCAAATAGATCGTGGCTTTTATTGGTCATATTCTTTTTTCACTCTGGGACTGCCATTAAAATGTATATTCACAAATTACACTGTTTGCCAAATTTGTGTCAGTAAAACCAAACCATAGCAGGTCTCACATTCACTCCTCATGCTATCCCTTTGTCACAAATCACCCTTCACAGTGGTCTTCACACACTCCAACCTGCCTGCATTATTTTCTTCACCTCTCTGCATTGCCCGTTGTTTTGAATGGCACGCACCAGATACATAACACAGCTACCTTCACTACTTATACTTCTGCAGCTCTGTTGTTACACCTTTCTCCCACTCATTCACAAGTATTCTGTCTCCTTCTACTGACTTTTATACCTCTTCTCTCCAGAGCACACATCCACCTGCTCCCTGCTCTCACAATGTCGCTTGCAAACATCAGTTCATGGAGACTCCAGCCTGACCCCATCAGTAAACCTACCCACCACTATTGCAAACAAGAAGAAGCTCAGAGTCAATCACTGATGTAATTCCACCCTCACCTTAAACCCATCTGGGACTCGTACTGAAAATCTCACCACTCTATCAAGGTACAACTCCTGACAAAGTCTCCTCTCAAAGCAAACATTCCTCTCAGTGCAGGTGATATGAAGAAGACACTGCTGAAAATAGCCCAGTAACCTGAAAAAGTGGGGAAACAATGCCTAGGAAATATGCTCACAAAACCCTAAATCAAAACAAATTTCACTCTATGAAAGTGCAAGCACCACATAATGCAGGTTTTTATTGACAGCAATGACAAATGAGTTTAATCCAGAACATACTGTACACTCTCCCCTTTGAACAATAAAGATCTTGCAGCATTTACTTAAACCAGATATACTGTTTGTATGTGTGTGCGTGTGTGTGTGTGTGTGTGTGTTTCATTGAATATTTTTCATTGAATGTTTTTTTTATTATATACCTCAGATTACTGTTCTTATATTCCAGAGCACAGAGCACAAATTATGGAGAAGGTTTGGAATTAACAATAATAAAGCATACAAGCCAAGAAACAAACAAACAAACAAAACTACAACTGTTTCAAAACATGTCTGTTATTTCCATTCTAATAAATGACTGGGTGTGTAAAGCGCTTTGGGGTCCCTAGGGGGACTAGTAAAAGCGCTATACAAATACAGGCCATTTACCAATAAACAGTCTAACCAGTTATCATCCAGTCTCATCTCCACTTTCAGAACTCTAATTACATCAGTTATTTATATGCGACTGTTATCAAATCAACATTAATAAACCATGTGAGATATCTGCATGTAGAAATATAAACCACTCATCCCCATCCCCACCCTCCCACCCATCTTCGGTGGTTTTTGGCCACAAGTGTGTTTCACATGTCCTCGCATGCACCCTCCAAGTTATAATACATAAACAAGAAACACTCACCACGTGTTCATTTGTGCTAAACTAACAGATGAATAATCAGGCTGCTGATGTTTATTATGGTGTCTGAGGTCTAGGTCCACACAAGCAACAACCCAAACCTATCCCTATGATATCACAATATATATTTATGCTTTTTTCAAATGCCCTCTCAAGTCTCGAATAATCAGGGAACAGAGGCAATGCAACACTATGAATGGTCACTTTGAGTGCATCATTGTGATTTATATCACTTCAAAAACAAAAATCAACCAAAAGCAGTGAAACAAAAGAAGAAGAAAAAACACCCCATCAACAGCTTCAAAAGAAACCCTCCAGAAGTGAATAATATTCGACTACATATCTAAACAAGCTCATAGGGGTTTTGTGTTGGCTGCTCTGGAGCTGCTGCTGGGCACCTGTTGGTCTTCATCATAACTTCATACACATAATCATTGGATCCTTGCAGGGAAGGTCTTGCTTTTCTTTCATGGCTTTTCATTTTTCTCGCCTGTCAATAGTAAAATACCACTGTATCAGTTTTCTGTATAAATAGTATGATGGTTTAAGCAGATTTCAAAAAGTACATCCAGTTAACTTCTAGAAAGTTTTCATTTTTGACAAATGATTTGACACATGGTAAAACAATAAAACAGTGCTCACAGTGGGTACAAAGCCAAGTGGAGTTCTTAAGAAGTGGAGTTTACAGAGGACAGGTGTGTTAGTGTATTATTAACGTTGGGTTTTGTAACAAAGAAAAATTATTTTCATCTTGAGCTAACAGAGCGAAAGACGTGAACAGTGTGATGCACTTTCCAAGGAGCTGCAGCCCTTTCACAGCTGCACTTCAAGATCCAAACAGATAATTCAGTGGTTTCTGATATAATCAGCAAGTCAGCGCAAGAGCGTTTACAGTGTTTACAGCAGTCATACTTGGTTGCGGTGAGGCTAATAAATGTGTACATTTACATGTCTGCAGACAGAAGATAACCACTGCTGCACACCATAGCTGCAGGGCTGGATTACATAACAGTACCTTACATAGAAAGCTTTAAGTAGAAAGAACTGAACTCACCTTCTGGATCATCAGTAGGATTAAGATTATGATGAACAGCAGGATGATGGTGGAAATACTGATGATTAACACCAGAGGTAGATGTCTCTCCTCTGCAGTGGACAAGAGCGCTTTTTGTCTGGAACATGGTTCTGTGTGAAATACAGGGAAACACAAGTGATGTCTTCATTCAGCTACATAAGAAGTTTACCATCCTGGTGCACTCCTTTAATTACACTGTTCTAACTTTAAATTTGCAATGTAATACAGAATTCTCCAAAAGAAAACTCAAGAAGAGCTCATCTAAAAATAAAAGGAAGATTGCTCTTCTCTTTGTATATCATATAGGAAGAGGAAAAGTAATTAAAAGTAATTAAAATCTGTGTTGTCACTGTTTGTTTAAAAAAAACAATAGCCTTTTATATTACTTTTATTCAGCATTACTGTTGAGGGTGTCACCAAGCCCAAATGGCACATCAGTAATTGTGAATTATGGTTTATTGTGTTTTATATCTACTGTAAGTTGAGTTCAGCCCTACTGAAGACCACAACCATAAGAGATATCACAATTGTAAAACTTAACATAAAATCGTTTTCTTTGTTATTGCTACTTCTTTTTTTTATAGCTTCATAAAGTGTGCAAGCTAATTTGTGGCAATGGAAGCATCTGTATGCAGTGCACCTCACTTGGCTGATAACAGCACTGGGAGTTAACAGACAGGCTGTTAGTTGAGAGAATCAAACTGACCTTTGGGATGCTCGGTAGTATTATGCTCACGATTACCACCAGGTAGACGTCTCTTCTCTGTGGTCGTCTGGAGCTCTCTGTTAGGTTTGTTTGTTATTTCTGTATGGAAAAAAATGTAAATACAAATTTAGAATAGCTTTAACTGTACTTTAACAGCAAAAAATTTTTGATACAAAACCCTTCATAGTCAGGAAGGACAACAGAAAATTGGTATTTTTTGTATATGTCACCTTGACAAGAAAAGTGGATTAGGTCACATCATTTACAAGCTGGAGTAATGAAACATATAGAAGACACATTAAACAGGAGCCCTGTGTTTGTATACGACCAAAGAAGTTGTGTAAAGTGTAAATTAAAACTGAATGTAATGATCTGCAAATCTCATAAACACAGAAAACATGTCAAATATTTAAATTGTGAAATTTTACTTTTCATGAAAAATATTAAGTCATTTTTCATTTGATGGCAGCAGTTTGTCTCAAAATGATGGTGGAGGGCAAAAAAAGACTGTAAAATAAAGTAGTAGCAAAAACAAAGCCCTGCAGGAACACTTCACCTCTTGCTAATTAGGTTAATTGGCAGGAAGTCAGCGTTATAACAAAGTACAAAAAGAGCATTGTAGCGAGGCAGAGTTTCTAAGAAGTAAAGATGGGCAGAGGGCCATTAATTGGTAAAAACTATAATGTTCCTCAATGTAAAACCATTAAGACTGAATATCTCATCATCTGTATTACATAATATCAAAAGATTCAGAGAATTAGTATTGGATGCCAGTGATCTTTGGGCCTTCAGGTGGTAGTTCAGTAAAAACAGGTATGATTTTACCTTGGAAATCATTGCATGGTTTCAGGAACACAGCCATAAATCACTGCCTGTGTTAGTTGACCATGCCATCCTCAAAAGGAGGTTAAAGCTTTATCATGCAAAGAAGCTATATGTGTATGTGATCTAGAAACAGTGCCATCTTCTCTGGGCCAAAGTTAGTTTTAAATGAAGTCGAAAACTGTTCTGTGGACAAAAAACCCGAAATTTGAAATACTTCTTGGAAAACTTGGACTCTTTCAGACTAAAGAAGAGAGGGACCATTAGTGAGGATGCATTAGTGCCTGTGGAACTGAAAGCCTGTACATTTGGCACCATCGATTTTGAAAGGTATATGCAGGTTTTAGAGCAACAAACAGTAGGTTCCAATCTGGACAACACGGTGCCGAGCTCTTCAGCCTGTATTCCAAACTTTCACCAACTGAAAACATTTGGTGCATCATAAAAAGAAAAACATGGCAAGGAAGACCCTGGACTGTTGAGCAGCTAGAGTGCTATTGGACAAAAATGGGACATTACTTTCCTAAAAGTCCAGCAACTGATCTGTTGTTTAAAAAAAAGTAGGTATGCTGCACAGTACTAAATGTGACCCTGTCCTAATGTTTTGTAGATGTGTTGACCTAATTTTTTTCTTTAAATTGTATATATTTTCAGTTTAAATATTCTGTTATGAATAAAATGTGGGTTTATGAGATTTGCAAATCACTGTGTGCTGTTTTTAGTAACATTTTACAGTGAACTTTTTTTAAAAAATGAGGTTATATTTTACAGATTCAGAAGTGCAAAAGTATTAAACTGAAACAGTTGTTGCTGGTACAATAACTTTCTTAAATATATTTTTCAGCAACAGTGGTGTTTATAGAGTGCTATCCTGCCTAAATACTTCATAAAAATACTACATATTGGAGTTTAGGGTTATAAAAAGCTGACTTTCCTGGAGCCCAAATAACCACATCCATGTGTAATGTCACCACTGTGTAGGTAAATATAAACCAACTTCCTATACTGTTGCTACTTCGTAATGTAAAAATCACATCCTGAATTTGTAACTGTGTACTGTACATTTACAGTACACTGTCTTTAGCCCCTCTAAAGTCTTTTAGTTACTGGACAAGATTTTGGAGTTAAATGGAAGAAAACACTCACCTCTTACAAAAACTGTGTAGACTTTGCACTCAACACTTTTGTCTACTGATTCTTTGTAGACACAAGTGTAGACACCAGAATCATCCACAGTCAGATTGGTCATGGTGATGCTGTGGTTCATGGGAGCTCCGTTTGACTCAATCCTGCCTTTGTATTTCGATCGCACAGCGACTTTGCTGTTTACATGGTTTCTATAGTAATACACCTCATTCTGTTCAGTAAACCTATGATACAGATACATCCCAGCATATCGACCATTGTTTTTGGGGCATTCTTCTGAGGAACACTTCAAAGTGATGCTCTCACCAGGCTCTGTGATGATTATAGTGCCTTCTGTTATAAAAGAGACAAAGTCTCTGATTAAAGACATGTCAAAGACACCTGCATTAACAGTGGCTGAATACCAGTTGTTCTGGAAGCACTTTAGACACATATCAAAATGTAATGTGACATTAATTTAAACCAGAAACAAATTAAGAAATGGTAAAAAAGTCCTCTCTCAGCTAGTGTTATTTCATGCAGACATAAACAAAATGAAAACCTCAGAATAGGAAAGTAAATGAACATACCTGAAGTGGAATAAGAAAAAATCAGTACTAGGGCCCAACACAGTCGCATCATCTCTGCAGCAGTGGCAGCATAAACTGCTTGTGTTTCTAATGCTCTCTCTCTATTTACACACACACAGATAAAAGAGACAGTGAGTAGTGTTTCCTGTATGTATGGTCTGGACTGATGATTAGCGCATCTTGTAGGATAAAATCACTGGTTTCAGTTTTAGATAGTGAAGTTGTGTTTAGCTTTTAAATCTCGATGCAAATGTGTTCATGAGAAAAAATACAGTACAAGTATGTCAATAACTTCTTTAAAATGACTCAGATTTACCATTTAAAAGCAAAAAGCAGATTGCCATGCGCAATCTGACAATGAAGAATAAGACAGCAATAAAAAAAAAACCCAACTCATTTCTGTGCTTTACTAACAAAGACACAATGTCTGTTTTTTTAAAAATTAAATTTTTTAAAGCATATAACCTAGTTTACCTCAATATTTTGTAAATAATGTAGATGTAAATCAAATCACCTTTTACAAAAGTTGACAACAGACAATAGCAGTAGATTTTCAACTGGTCTCACGGTTCACATTCCTGCTCATCATCAGAGTATCATAAGTATTAAGGAATATATAACATACCGTAAGATGAAGAAATACTGTTAAGGTCAAGGTGCCTCAACCAGATGATCCACTATGAGTCTCTGATTGTTGGACTTAGACCTACACAAAAGCCAATTTTGGCTTCTGATAAATGAAGGCTGGGATGTATTAAAGAAGCATAGTTAATATGTAATGATTGGGAAGTATGGACAGTTATTTCATTCAGTTATTTTTTGGCTATATTACATAAATGTTTGGAGATGTTTCCCTTCCACACTGCAACATTTGAGAAGTGAAATGTTCACTTTAAGCAAGTCCGAATGTCTGTAAAACTTCTTTATTATTTTGGGGATTTCAGAACCATCTGTAACATCTGTGTGTTGCCATATTGTAGTTACTTCACGCAGGTAATGAAACGGCAGCTTTTTTTTCCAGCCACTCCATTTAGGAATCAACATAGTGGGACATCTGCCTCCATCTCACCCATCCTCCACTGTCACATCGCCTTCTGCATGTCCTCCATCACAACAACCATGAAGGTTCTGTGTGTTCTTCCTTGCTTTAAAGCTGGTGTGCTCCAAATGGCAGCAAAACTATGACTTTGTGGAAAGGCTTAGAGTACTACTGTTGTTCCATGTGCATTAATGTGGAAAACTCTGATGCTTTGGGGATACTCCCAGAGATCTTGGGTCCGTATCCAAAGTTCTTGAGCTGCAGGGATTTATGACTTTCAGAAGAAATAATCTTAATTGAGAGCAGCCTAAGCTCACATGCAGTTGTATACAAACAAAAGCCATGTGCTGCTCAAACCCAGTCTGCCACAATACGCTAAGCAACAACTCAGGTTACTTCCTTCTTAGACAGGTGTGTAGCTTGGTACGGCTGTGGCTGCTCTGTGGTCTCTGTGTCTCAAAATTTCAGCCTGCTAAGTAAAAAGGAATGGCTGATTAGAAGATATGCAGCAGCTGTACCATTCAGCTCAAGCTGGCACTGCTCTCTGAAATGCTCTGCCCCACCTCTGCAGCTAAGCTAAAACCACAGTGTACATCTACAACATTTTGTGTGGTAGTGGGATGTGGCTGTCTTGTCAAAAGACAAAACACCAAATGTTCTTCTCACAGTCACAATCAGAGAAATAAAAGTTTTCCAGGTGTGTGAAAGCACACCAGTGGTTATGTGGGTGCACAAACTGCAATAAAGCTTTTATTTTTAATATTTCCCTGATGTCATTTAAGATGTGTGACATTATTGTATACAACACACACAGCAAAATGTATCGTGCCTACTGCATGTTACAGGCTGGGGGGATGCACAGTCATGCACATTAACCAGCTATGTGGTAACTAAGAGTTCTGTAAAAAAAAAAGAAAAGGGAAGTTAAATTTGATTTCAAATAATATTTGTTTGTTCTTCCTTCATCAGACAGTCTGTCGTTAACGAGCTAACTGCGCTAACGCACTAGTTCCCACCAATTGAGCATTGCGTGGCACATCCGACATACTGTTTTACTTTTGTCCATGACGCGCTTACCATCAGGGTCATGCTTCACATGAAAACCAAAATAGTTCCAAACGGCAGATCTGAATGAGGGTGGGGGCCGTTCAATTTCGGGTAGCGTTGAGGCAGTTGCCATGTTGCAATGAGCTTAGCTTCTGTCTTGCTAGCTTGTGCTGCGACAGTGCAGCCTAGGCGGAGTAGTTGAACGCAGATCCACTGAGCGCTCGACACAGACAGCATCGTCAGAAGAAAAGTTGATAAAATAAATAAAAAATGTGTATTGTTCAATACATATGCATACCGAACCGAAAGCACTGTATCGAACGGTTCAATATCGATACGAGTATTGTTGCACCCCTAATATAATATATTAGCACAGGTATCAATAAAGGACTACCGTATTAAACACTTTTACTAACCGCAGGAAGACAGACATTGGTGTTTAGGCGGGCGATGCTGGGACCCACGCGGGACAGCAGCTCCTCAAACTGGGCAAGGGAAAGACGGTGGTACCGCTGAAAGCGGCCATCATCCATATGCAGCTCCTGGAGCAAGTGGTGAAACTCACCAAACTGCTCATGCTTCTAGAGGACCAGATGGACCCAGGTACGGCGAGGACATCCTTTACGCCGCTGCTCTGCTCTCCACAGTAAATAGAGAAGGAGACTCTCTCTTCAAACGCTAGATTGACAGCTGCCATCTTGCAAACATACCGTCTGGCACTACTTCCTCCCACATTTCCGCTTCACACGCGTGAAAATTGCATATTTTGAAGCATGACCAATTCGTGTTGGTCCCGCGTCGAGGTGCAAATGTGCACGCGACCAGCTAGGGGCGGTCTGTGGCAAGCCATTAGAGCCAAAATTCGCC